GAGGAAGAACTTTTTGACTGTGAGAGCTGTTTAGCAGTGGAACTCTCTGCCGTGGAGTGTGGTGGAGGCTCCTTCTTTGGAAGCTTTTAAACAGAGGCTGGATGGCCATCTGTCAGGGGTGATTTGAATGCAATATTCCTGCTTCTTGGCAGAATGGCAGGGGGTTGGACTGGATGGCCCATGAGGTCTCTTCCAACTCTAGGATTCTATGATTCTATGTTGCTACTTGGTCCTTATACAGATTCCTAATACTCTGAAATGACCCAAAGACACACAATGACTATGAAACAATGGGTTGTTGTAGGTTTTTCCGGGCTATATGGCCATGTTCTGGAGGCAATTTTTCTCCTGACGTTTTGCCTGCATCTATGGCAAGTATCCTCAGAGGTAATGAGGATGCTTGCTATAGATGCAGGCGAAATGTCAGGAGAAAATTTGCCTCCAGAACATGGCCATATAGCCCGGAAAAACCTACAACAACCCATGGATTCCGGCCATGAAAGCCTTCGACAATACTATGAAACAATGATAACACTATGTAGAATGATTTTTGTTCCTGGGTTGTGTCATGGGAAAACATGGGGAAGATTAATTAGACTGGGAAAACTTTGTCTTTGCAGGAGGGACATCAAATCTCAACCAGAGTCTCAACCAATTCAACATTGTGGCAGCCACAAAAACAAAGTGTCTGGAGTGTATCAACTCCTTTCAAAGTAAGGACTACACAGTTAAAGAGGAACAGAACATTTTTCAAATGTTGTTACATAGTGTTGTTGTTATCCTGTTTGTTTACCTGTCACATAGTGTAATGCAAAGTGGAATGGACAGCAATAGGAAAAGAGGAAGATAGTAATACAGCCAGAGTGATTCAATCAAGGAAGACAGGACAATGTTCAAGTTTGCAGGACCTCAGCAGAGCTGTTGATCTCTCTCTCTTGGTCATTACAGGATTTCTGCAAAGTTAAGATAATTTTATGGCTCCAAATAAGAACCCTTCCATGACAGTTTGGCATTAATTACATAGGGAGAAAGGCTGAATCTCCAGTGTACCTTCCTTTTTCACTGAAGTTTACCACAGGTAAAGGTAAAAGTTTTCCTCTAACATTAAGCCCAGTTGTGTCTGATTCTGGGTGTTGGTTACTTGATGGTTTCTGACTTACTTACTTACTTACTTAGGCGATCCCTCATTGGCCGAGTAGGATAGTCTTCCAGGATCAAAATTCTTGTGAGTCAGTAGGTGGCTGTGGAGCCCTATTCTTGATCTGCATCTTCTCCCGCAGTTAGGGCATTGGTTTCTAGGTGGAAGGCGGTCTCGGTCTGGGTTGGCTTGATGCGCCTTCCTCTTGGCACGTTTCTCTCTTTCTCCCTCCATTCATGCCTCTTCAAGTTCTGCAGCACTGCTGGTCACAGCTGACCTCCAGATGGAGCACTCAAGGGCCAGGGCTTCCCAGTTCTCAGTGTCAATGCCAGAGTTTTTAAGGTTGGCTTTGAGCCCATCTTTCAATCTCTTTTCCTGTCCACCAACATTCTGTTTCCCATTCTTGAGTTAGGAATAGAGCAACTGCTTTGGGAGATGGTGGTTGGGCATCCAGACAACGTGGCCGGTCCAGTTGATGGTGGAGAGCATCGCTTCAATGCTGGTGGTCTTTGCTTCTTCTTCCAGCATGCTGATGTTTGTCCAGTGTCTTCCCAAGAGATTTGCAGGATTTTCCAGAGGCACCGCTGATGGAATTGTTCACCTGAAGACAGTCCACATTTCACAGGCATATAGCAGGATTGGGAGGACGATAGCTTTATAAACAAGCATCTTGGTCTCCCTACGGATGTCCTGGTCCTCAAACACTCTCTGCTTCATTCGGAAAAATGCTGCACTCACAGAGCTCAGGCGGTGTTGTATTTCGGTATCGATGTTGACTTTGGTGGAGAAGTGGGTGCCAAGGTAGTGGAAATGGTCAACATTTTCTAACGTTACACCATTAAGCTGTATCTCTGGCATTGGAGAGGGGTTGGCTGGTGACTGCTAGAAGAGCACTTTGGTTTTCTCGATGTTTCTCGGTTTTCTCGATGTTCAATGACAGGCCGAGCTTCTCGTATGCTTCTGCGAAGGGGTTGAGAGTGTCTTGTAGATCTTCTTCTGAATGCTGGGTGTTGGTTACTTGATGGTTTCTGACAATCCGGCAGACATAACATTACTTTCAGTGAGTCTCTGGCGTGTTAGCCCAGAAATAATCCCAAATAAAGCTGACTCTTTTAGGGCGAAGAACCCATTGTCTCTGTAGGTAATCGGATGCCATTCTCCAAATCTGCCCTCTTGTTACCCAAATGTCTTTGTATTCATTCTGCTCTGCGGGAGCCACACAGAATTAAGTCCATGGGTTTATCCAACTCTCACTTCAAGTATTAGATTACACTATGTAACACCATTTTTGTTCCTGGGTTATAAATGCCATTTCCTAATTGGTTCCATCATAAAAACACAGGAAAAGTTTATTAAACTGCAGAAGCTTTGTCCATGCAGGAAGGACATCTTGCAACACATTTTGCTCTAATTTTTCAATGAATATCTCATTGAGTCTCAACCAATTCATCACAGTTTGTGCCATCAAAACAAAGTTTCTGGAGCATCGCAACTACTTTCAAAGTAAGGACTGCACAATGAAACAGGAACAAACTCTTTCAAACCAGGAACAGAACATTATTTTGAATTTTGTTACAGAAGCCTGTCTCCTCCAACCTCTCCTCTCCCGACTCACCCTTCATAATGTTCTGACTGCATACCATCATGGACTCAAGAGTTAAAATTGAGGGTTAACTGGTGTGGCCTTTGACTGGTTGTGCCAAAGCGACATTATTTTGATTATGAGGCCTAAATCCATGAGTCAGAAGAATAACCAATCTAGATCCTGTTGGGTAAGTCTTACTCTAGTTATTATTTTGACACCAGATTTAGCTGTCTGGACGGAAAATCCAACACTTAGAGAAATTCATCCACAGGAGTAGAGATGTTGGCTGATTGGTGTCAACTGAGATCCAATCAATCAACTGTTGAATTGTGAGTCTACATATAGGTAAATCCACTTGGTTTGATGACTCTATTCCAGCTGGAATTACACGGGGTGGGGTGGGGGTGGAATCCTATTGGATAACACTGAGTAAACCTGATCTCTGAGCAGACCCATTCCGTTGGTTACCATTTTGAACCAATTGTTAAGCCCTTTAGGAAGAGCCAACCATTGAGTAGACTCACTGAGATGGCCACCATGGGATAGACCTAGACATTGATTAGACCCATTGAGTTGATTTCCATTGAAAAAAATCAACCACTGAGTAGATCTATTGAGCTGGCTACCATTGAATATACCCAACCGTTGAGCAGACCCATTAAAAAGACCCAACCATTGAGAAAACTAATTCCGTCGACCACCATTGAGTAGGCACAACAATTGAGTAGATCCGATGAATTTACTACCGTTGAGTAGACCCAACCATTGAGCCAATTCATTTTGCTGACTACCATTAAATAGATACAATTGAGTAGACCCATTTTGACCCAACCATTGAGTAGATACATTGAGGTAACCCAGCCATTGAGTTGACTACTACTGAATAGATACAACTGAGTAGACTCATTGGGTTGACTACCATTGAGTATATGCAATAATTGAGTAGACCCACTGAACTGATGATCATTGAGCACACCCAAACATTGAATCAACCCATTGAGTTGTCTACCATTGAATAGGTACAGCAATTGAGTAGACCCACTGAGTTGACTATCATTGAGCACACCCAACCATTGAGTAAACCCATGCAGTAGACCAGCATTGACTAGGCACACTTGAGTAGACACATTAAATTGACTATGGTTGAGTAGACTACCACTGAGTAAACTAGCACTGAGTAGACTCAACCACTGAGTTGACCCATTAGTTTAGCTACCACTGGATAGACCCAGCTATTGAGTAGATCCACTGAGTTGACTAACATTGAATAGATACAACTATTGAGTCGACTCACTGAGTTGACTGTCATTGAGTACACATAAACATTGAGTAGACCAACTGAGTTGACTACCATTGAATAGGGGCAGCCATTGAGTCAACCCATTGAGTTGACTACCATTGAGTAGATACAATTGAGTAGACCCATTGAGTTGACCATCATTGATTACACTCAGACATTGAGTTGAACCATTGAATTGACTATCATTCAGTAGACCTATTGAGTAGACTATCACCGAGTATATCCAACCATTACATAGACACATTGTTGGCTACCATTGAGTAGATACAACTCTTGAGTAGACCCATTGAGTTGACTACCATTGAATAGATACAATTGAATTGACCCATTGAGTTGACTACCACTGAATAGATACAATTGAGTAGACCCATTGAGTTGACTACCATTGAATAAATACAATTGAGTAGACCCATTGAGTTGACTACCCTTGAATAGATACAATTGAGTAGACCCATTGAGTTGCTGGGGAAAGTGGAAGGCAAAAGGAAGAGGGGCCGACCAAGGGCAAGATGGATGGATGGCATCCTTGAAGTGACTGGACTGACCTTGAGGGAGCTGGGGGTGGTAACGGCCGACAGGGAGCTCTGGCGTGGGCTGGTCCATGAGGTCACGAAGAGTCGGAGACGACTGAACGAGTGAACAACAAATTGAGTTGACTACCCTTGAATAGATACAATTAAGTCGGCCCATTGAGTTGACTACCATTGAATAAATACAATTGAGTAGACCCCTTGGGTTGACTACCATTGAGTAGATACAACAAATGCGCACACCCATTGAGTTGACTACACCCAACCATTGAGTAGCACTTGCATTTACCTGGAAGTGAACCCAATGTTATTCAATGGGACTACTCTAGAGTAAGATGCAAGAGTTCTCCAACAGAGCAAGCCCGTGGGGCTGTGTTCTCCAACTGCCCCCTCCCCGGGCTTTGGAGCCCCCCAATTCCCCCTGGACCCCCCCCCCCCGCTTGCTACCTGGGAGAGCTTGAGTTTCTGCTCGGGGGAGGCCTGGATGACGAGGGCGATCATGGCCAGGTAGGTGTAGGGGGGCTTGGCGTGGCGCAGGTACTTCTTCTTCTTCCTCTTCTTCCTCCTCCTCCTCCTCCTCATGATCACCCGCTTCCCTTGGCCCACCTTGGCCCCATCTTCCTCCTCGTCTTCCTCCTCCCTCTCTTCCTCTTCTTCTTCTTCCTCCTCTTCTTCTTCCTCTTCCTCCTCCTCTTCAGCATCCTTGCCTTGGGGTTGGGCATTTGGGGGGCCACCTGGAGCAGCCATGGCTAGGCTGCTGGGGGGATTCTGGGGCGCATTTGCAACCCAAGGCAGGAAAGGCTGCGGGGCCCCCTCCCTGGAAATGGGCCCCCAAAGAGGAAGCAGGGACACCTGGTCGCCCAGTTCCATGCTGAGGGGATCCAGGACTGGCCCTCCTGGGAGGGGAGGGGCCCCAGAAAGAAGGGACAGCCCCCTCCTTCCCTCCCTTTGCTGCAGCCCCTCCCCTCTTGTACACAAACTTAGGCTGGGGAGGGGTCCCCAGAGGGCATCCAGCCCAACCCCTCCCAACAGAGGCCATCCACCAAAGGAAACTCCAAATGCAGTTGGAAGGGGCACCCAAAGGCCATCCAGTCCAGCCCTTCCTGCTCTATAAGAAGGCAACACCCAAGCCCTCCCAACAGATGGTCTCTTTAAGACACACCAGAGGAGGAGACTCCATTGGACTATAAGGTTTGTGTATCTGTAGAAAGCCAGTGGCTGGTGGTTTTTGTATCTAGAGGATCTGCAGTAATCATCATAGCTTCTGCTCTCTCCTATTTGTGCCTAGGTCACCATAAACCATATGTATGTATAGGGTCGCCATAAACTTGTTATTGAAGGCACACATAGACATATATGTATATGTGTATGTATAGGGTCAACATAAACTTGTAATTGAATGCACATAAATAGACATACATATGAATTTGTATTTATATAAAAGGTGGCCCTATATGTATATGTGTGTATGTATATATATATATATATATATATATATATATATATATGTAGGGTCACCATAAATGAAGGCACATACACACACACATATATATCGGGCGGTCACCATAAACTTGTAATTGAATGCACATAAGTAGACATCCACATGAATGTCTATGAATGTCTATTTATATGTAAGGTGACCCTATATATATATATATATATATATATATATATATATATATATAGGGTCACCATAAACGAAGGCACACGCACACACACACACATATGTAGGGTGGTCACCAGAAACTTGTAATTGAAGGCCCATACACATCTATAGGGTCATCATAAATGTGTAATTGAAGGCGATATAATTCAAACTTATCTGCCGCCACTCCCCTGGGGCTCGGAGCGGCTTACAAGAACAGGCTAAAATCTAACACAATTTAAAAACAATTTAAAACAATTTAAAAACAGCAATATCAAAGATCAAAGGCCTGTCGAAACATATGTCTTCCATGCCCTGCGGAAAGCTGATAAGTCTTCAGGTGGCAGAGTATTCCAGAGTGATGGTGCCACTGCTGTGAAGGCTCTGCGTCTGGTTGCTGTTAGACGCAAGTTCTTGACACTGGGAATTTCCAATAGATCTTGGTCCTCAGAACGAAGGGATCTCTGGGGTTGGGAGGGGGTGAGGCGGTCCCTCAGATACATCGGCCCAAGACCATGCAAGGCCTTCAAGGTGAGTACCATCCCTTTGAAAGTGATCCAGTGCTCAATTGGTAACCAATGCAGCTGCAGGAATATTGGGGTGATGTGGCATCTCATCGGAATTCCCGCAAGAAGCCGAGCAGCTGCATTTTGTACCAGTTTGAGCTTCCGGATCACCGACAGAGGAAGGCCAATGTAGAGGGCATTACAGTAGTCCAGTCTTGAGATGACCGTGGCCTGGATCACCATAGCCAGGTCGTCCCTGGACAGGGAGGGGGCCAGCCGTCTAGCCTGCCGCAGGTGAAAGAAGGCGGTTCTGCTCACGGCGGAGATCTGGGCCTCCATCCTCAGCAGAGGGTCCAAAAGGACTCCCAGACTCTTTACCAATGATGACGGGCGTAACGCCTCGCCATCCAGGGTGGGTAGATGGATGTCCCCACTGCCCGGTCCACCCAGCCATAGGATCTCCATCTTTGCTGGATTCGCCCTCAACCTGCTGGCACGCAGCCATCCAGTCACGGCCTCAAAGCACTGATGGAAACAATCGGGTACAGAGTCCGGTCAGCCTTCCATCTTCAGCACCAGCTGAGTGTCAGTACTCTAGCCCAAAACCTTGAACCAGCTGAGCAAGTGGTCGCATATAGATGTTAAACAACAGTTTACAAGCTTATGGTGACCCAATGAATTCCCTATGGTTTTCTGAGGTCCCTTCTTCCACACAGTCCTATATCCCAGAATATCTGCTTTGAACTGGGTTCTCTGAGTCCACACTCAGATAATGTGGGATTTCCTGCCTTGATATTCTGGGATATAGGGCTGTGTGGAAGAAGGACCCTGAGGCAAAGTGGAGGAGGTTTAGCAGACCTTTCCTCTGAAATACAAGCCACAACACTTGATATTTTTGACAGTCCTTCTGAGCTTGGAGAAGGTTCCTCTTTTTGGATTGCCACTCCCCAGAATTGGCTGGCTGGGGGATTTTGGGAATGGCAGTCTCCAAATGCCCCTTCTGTTGGGATATGGAGAGTTCAAGCCTACAGCATACGTGGGGAAAGGACCAAGCTTGGATCTTGTGTGTTTCAGGTGCCTTTAAATAGATGCATTTGTAGGGTTTGAGATGGGAAGACGCAGAGGTGGTTTTGCCAGTCCTTCCCTCTGAAATAGAGCCCGTGGCATTTTATGTTATGTAGTTGATGAAAATCCTATAGCAACCTTGCTATGATTTCTTTTGCAGTTGCAATGTTCAGTTTCACAATTTCTTACTCCTCCTTTGTATGTGTATGCATACACTCATGTATTGTAGATTACACTATATAACTCCAAAGGTATTCCTGGACATTTCCTCCCACATTTCCATTTTTATAATCTGAGACTCTGTGCTTTGGAGCGTGGTGGAAGCTACTTACTTACTCAGGCGATCCCTCATTGTCCGAGTAGGATTGTCTTCCAAGTTTGGTATCCTGGCGGTGGGTCCATAGGTGACTGTGGAGCCTCTGGCATAGACACTGAGAAGTGGGAAGCCCTGGCCCTTGAGGTCAGCTGTGACCAGCAGTGCTGTAGAATTTGAAGAGGCATGAATGGAGGGTGAATGAGAGAAACGGGCCAAGAGAAAGGTACATCAAGCCAAACCCAACCAGGACAGCCTTCCACCTGGAAACCGATGCCCTCACTGTGGGAGAACATGCAGATCAAGAATAGGGCTCCACAGTCACCTAGGGACCCATTGCCAGGACACCGATCTTGGAGGACAATCCTACTCGGACGAGGGATCGCCAGTGTATGTGTGTGGAGCCCTATTCTTGATCTGCATCTTCTCCCGCACAGATAGGAGCATTGGTTTCCAGGTGGAAGGCAGTCCCGGTCGGGGTTGGCTTGATGCACCTTCCTCTTGGCACATTTCTCTCTTCTGCCCTCCATTCGTGCCTCTTCAAATTCTGCAGCACTGCTGGTCACAGCTGACCTCCAGCTGGAGCGCTCAAGGGCCAGGGCTTCCCAGTTCTCAGTGTCTATGCCAGAGTTTTTAAGGTTGGCCTTGAGCCCATCTTTAAATGTCTTTTCCTGTCTAGCAACATTCCGTTTTCCATTCTTAAGTTCAGAGTAGAGCAACTGCTTTGGGAGACGGTGGTCGGGCATCCGGACAACGTGGCTGGTCCAGCGGAGTTGATGGCGGAGGACCATCGCTTCAATGCAGGTGGTCTTTGCTTCTTCCAGCACGCTGACGTTTGTCCGCTTGTCTTCCCAAGAGATTTGCAGGATTTTCCGGAGGCAGTGCTGATGGAATCGTTCCCTGTAGACAGTCCATGTTTCACAGGCATATAGTAGGGTTGGGAGGACAATAGCTTTATAAACAAGCACAGTGGTCTCCCTATGGATGTCCTGGTCCTCAAACACTCTCCGCTTCATTCGGAAAAATGCTGCGCTCGCAGAGCTCAGGCGGTTCTGTATTTCGGTTTCGATGTTGACTTTGGTGGAGAGGTGGCTGCCAAGGGAGCGGAAATGGTCCGCATTTTCTAATGTTACACCATTGAGCTGTATTTCCAGCATTGGAGAGGGGTTGGCTGGTGTCTGCTGGAAGAGCACTTGGGTTTTCTCAATGTTCAATGACAGGCCGAGCTTCTCGTATACTTCTCGTATACTTCTATTCCACTTTGGTTAGACCACACCTGGAATATTTTGTCCAATTCTGGACACCACAACTCAAGAGAGATATTGACAAGCTGGAATGTGTCCAGAGGAGGGCAACTAAAATGATCAAGGGTCTGGAGAACAAGCCCTATGAGGAGCGGCTTAAGGAGCTGGGCATGTTTAGCCTGAAGAAGAGAAGGCTGAGAGGAGACATGATAGCCATGTATAAATATGTGAGAGGAAGCCACAGGGAGGAGGGAGCAAGCTTGTTTTCTGCTTCCTTGGAGACTAGGACGCGGAACAATGGCTTCAAACTACAAGAGAGGAGATTCCATCTGAACATGAGGAAGAATTTCCTGACTGTGAGAGCCGTTCAGCAGTGGAACTCTCTGCCCCGGAGTGTGTTGGAGGCTCCTTCTTTGGAAGCTTTTAAACAGAGGCTGGATGGCCATCTGTCAGGGGTGATTTGAATGCAATCTTCCTGCTTCTTGGCAGAATGGGGTTGGACTGGATGGCCCAGGAGGTCTCTTCCAACTCTAGGATTCTATGATTCTATGATTCTGTGAAGGTGTTTAGAGTGGCTTGTAGGTCTTCTGAATGTGCACAGATGATGTTGTCATCAGCATATTGGAGTTTTATAACAGATGTTGTTGTAAGCTTGGTTTTGGCTTTCAGTTTGCTGAGGTTGAATAGTATGCCATCTGTCTGATAGATGATTTCCACTCCATCAACAAGATGAAGTATCATAGTGATGAAGATGAGAATAAGGTTGGGGCAATAACACATCATCCCTGTTTGACACCTGATTCCAAAGG